TTATATATATAAAGATATACGTTTATTACTGTAACAACACCTGCTATRCGTTCCTTAGATTTCTGCTATCGTTAGCAAATTTTTTATATGCTTTGTTCCCAAAGGTAAAAGAAGTATATTGGTTTTGCGCAATGTCCGTTCGTCTGTCTTTATAAAGTTGGAGATTTGAAATGTGGAGCCTATACTCGTGTATATCCTCGGCTGACAAAGTGTGTTCGAATTTTCCAAGATCAATATCAATATCAATATCAATAAGATATGGCGGATATATCTACGATTGGTATATCTATCTATTGGGTTGCGGCAAATCGACAACAAAGCATCACGCAGTCGGTTACTCCCCACTGCAACGTCCTTAATTAATGTTTTCTTTATTTGTTGCTGCATTCGAATTTTTTCTGGCCACATTTAAAATGTTGGCTAAAGCAATTTGCTGATATGGTGCACGTTGTGTGCGCTGATATCGACCTCTATAGATATTGGCACACAATTTATTTTGTATATAATTTTGTGTGTACAGTTTTTATCGCCTGACTTATCAAAGGTCATTACAGTGCTTTTTATGCCCGCCAATTGGCAAATGGCTTAAAACACAATTGCAAAAAAATGCGGTTTTTACAAAAAAGATTTCCGTGTTTTATATATAATACATACATACATAAATGTATAATAAATACATCAAACAAATAAAATATTTACAGTTGCGTTAAACAAATAAGAATTAAATGTAAAAAATACGAAAAATATGCTGAAATGCTTTAAAAATTTATAAAAAGAAAAAACAAAAAGAAAAGAAATATTCACTAATATTTCATATATAGTTTTCAACTCGCAATAATTTGCGATTGCATAGACAGAAGGAGACGTGGCTGAGAACCAATAGATTATATAGAGACTTGATCATTAACAGCTCAGAGTAGAGCTACTCTTTAGCTGATCGCCTTCAAGCACTTAAATATGCAATTAGCAAGGGTATTCTCTAGTCTAGCATGCCACTCATCCCTGCTTGCTTTACCGTAAAAAGTAGCCGTTGCTCACACAATCCTGAATTACACACAATGCATTTGCTTAAAGCGGATCAGGCGATCAACTCAGTAGCTGTTGACTTGAGATTAGATAAAAGTAACGGCAAAATGTAAGATTAAACAAGTACTTAAATATAAATTTATATTCTAAATATACAAATGCATATCAAATATACATATGTACATACATACATATGTATGCACTTGGCAGCAAACCAGACTGCGATAAGGATGGCAATCAATAAATGTTTGCCGATATGATTACGAATATCGATAACTTTTACTTTCGTTTGCAAATGGCTTGGCGAACACATGTTCACAGCAACAACATAGTTGCAATGAACTGGAACTATTTGATTACTCAGATTGCACAAGACAAGAACTAGCGAAGAACAAGAGCAAACACAAGTGCAATAAGCAGCAGCAAGGCAACGTGTGTGTGTGTGCGTGCATGTGTGAGGGCAGGCGTATATCAAAATTCGATTCACACATGCTCCTCGGCTTATCTGAGTCGCAAGACGTGTTAGACAGAGAGCAAGCGATTGGGCTTGCGTCACTGCTGCACCCGCTTACGCATACGCAGAGTCGCCCGCATCCGCACCCAAAGCCGAGCCCAGGACAAAAAAAAAATAAGGGGGAAAAAACAAAAGCAACAGCATGCGCTGTAATTGCGGCAATACATGATTAGTTATCAGGCATGCCCAGTCAACAGTCGCATCTGAGTGTGTGCCAATTCGTTTTGCGGCGAGATAGTTGAGAGAAATGTCTTATCAGATAAATAAAGAAAAATACAAAAAGCCGTTAATTTGCGCTCGAAATTATGGCAGCTGGCCATATACAAACAAACATACATACATACATACATGCATACATAATCCAGAATTCTCTCAGCTTTTGTTGCCACTTCTTCTTCTTATTCTGCATTAGCTSTTTCCTATTGCAAATTGTCGGCAGCGCACAAATTATGGCAACGGTTTTATTTCACTTCTCTGCTATTCTTTGCTGTGTGCATGTGTGCATGTGTGTGTGTCTGTCTGTCTGTATTTTGTCAGCTGGCACAGTTTTTGCATGTTTGGCTGCTCATTTATTTTTCTCTAATTAATTCAATACAAATCAAAAGATTACAGTTTTTATCGTCGTGAAAGTCTAAGCGGAGGCCAAACGTTTTCTATTCTTTGATCTTTCTAATTGTTTGTCAATTTGTTATCATATTCTGCTTTCCAGAGCGCACTTTTCTAAATCGCTTTGCGCTTTTCTAATTGATTTTTCTCATACACACATACACACACACACACACACAGAGAGACGCACACTCACAGGCACACAAAATCTCTCTCATAGAAGCAAAATCAATTTCGGTCAACGAACGCATTATGATCCAGCCGCTCTCTTACTCGCGCTCCCTCTCTGTCGCACTCACGCGTTTTGCTACTGCTGCTCATCTGCTCATTCTGCACTGCTCCATATGGCGACAGTTTTGTTGTTATATTTTATGCTCTTTGTTTTGTCGCTGCCAACATCTCAGCCGCCGCACAAAATTATCTGTAGACCGTTCTTTTTTTTTTCATATTTCTTTTTCCCGTTGTTGTTGCTGCTGTGTTGCTGCTGTGCTGCTGCTGCTGCTGCTGGCTACGGTTTTGCTGATTGAAAATTGTGATGTTTAAATTGTTTCAAATGGAGCGCATACAAACAAAACAATACATAAATCTCGATTGAAGACGCCCGATCAGCTGTCACCCAAACGGCTCTCGATGACTTTCCAAAGTAGCTGTAACTCGCTCGAATTATTCGAGCGTCGTATACGATGTGGGATGGCTTTCGACATCGAAAACTAACATACATACATATATGTATGTATGTACATATAAATACATACATAGATATGTATCTGTATCTGCCCGCTTGAAAGTATCCAGCAATAAATCGAGGCAGAAAGCGAACGAACTCACTTTCGATATCGAAAACTACTACAGTCTCCATTGAAAGTCAACGGCCAACAACAACCACAATTCACACATTAATGCATCATCCCCCATGCAAGCTAAATTAAGCAATAATAAATGAAGCCGCGTTTACGCGTTTAACTGATCTGACGGAAACGCAAAAACATTAACAATTTATTTTTGTTTATTTGCCTCACGCACAAATCGGTCAGTGAGGCTTCATTCATTCAATCAGTCCAAATTACGCTCGCATGCAAATGCAATTGCATTTTTATCGGGTTAAATATGATTGAGATATATGTATGTATATGTAAATATTATTATTACATTTTAATTCAAGTTAAAATTCATCTGATTTTGCATACAAATTAGCTTTTTGATATACACATCAAAAAATTAAGATTATTATAGAGCAGCTGTAGATTATACATACTTATACATACATAAGTATATATAGAAGAAGAGCTTCTTCTTCCTGAGATTCATTGAAGTTCCCGGAAAGAGGGAAATAAATGGAGTGCTAGATAATAATGTGCATATGTATATAATAATTATTGTTTTGGGTTCTACTAATCTTTCATATGGCACTAGAGAGAGTAGATATGGCAACAGAGAGTAGATAAAGGCCGAGTGAGAAATAGAAATATAGGCAGAGGCAGAGAGGGTGTTAGAGAAGTGTTTTAAAGAATTGGAAAGGATGAGATATACATAGATTAAGAAGGAAAGTGTGAAGGATACAAATGCAAATAAGAGAGAGAGAAGAGAGAGAAATAGAGAAGAGAGAGAGAGAGAGAGATAGCGTGTGTCGTTGTTAGAACATGGGAGATACAAATGCACAGTGAGAGAGACAGAGGTAAATACAAAGTAAGAGAACGAGATATAAATAAGAGAGGAGCGATATATATGTAAAGAGAGAGAGAGAGAGAAAGCGAAATACTAAGGCAGATCAAGGATACACAAAAACCGATATATGGAAGGAGACTAGAGAGAGAGAGAGGGGGACAAAGATAAAGATATAGTTAAAGAAATGGAGAGAGCGCAAGCGAGACAGAGAGCGGGAGAGAGAGAAAGAAAGAGAGGGAGAGTGATCAAAAGAAAGAGGGAGAGAGAGCAAGCAAAGCAGAGCGAGGGAGTTCTAGAGAGATCTAGAGTTAGCTGGCTTAGTAAATATTTTCAACTCTACGGCACCAATTAGAGGTTATGTTCGAATTTGCTGTGGCTTTATCTACGGCCATGTTTACGTCTGTGTCGATGTTACTTTCCGCGTATTATCTGAGATCGAAGACAACATGATATAGAAGTAGTTGTTTCATTACGCACGAGACATTGTGTTTCAATTTTTATCAATTGAATGAAAACAATTTCCGTTAAAACAATTTACAAAAAAAAAAAACACAATTCTCATATGAAAACTTTGCTACTTTTTGCCTTGAGGCAATGCAATTATGATGTATATATAAGTATATATATGGATTTGTAAATATTTTTTTTTTATTTTTTGCTGCTGTTGCTGTCTCGCTCTGTTTTAGTTATTCAATTCGCATGCAACGCGCGCGCTTTTAATTTATGCAGCATTTCGAGCTGAACAAATTGAAGAGTTTTGTGGAGGCAAAATGCATTGGCGTGATTGATTCATAATTTTATTGTTATTGCTATTGCTATTGTTATTGTTATTGCTATTACTGTTGCTATTATTACTTTCTGGCTCTTGGCTGGCTCTTGGCACGGAAGCGAAAGCGAAAGTATCTGACGGATGCAACGCGAAACGAAGCCAAATGTAAACTGCCAAGTGGGCGTGGCAGCTCTTCCGTATTGGCTGTATATGTGAAAATTGTTGTTTCTCTTGTTTGCTTCATTTGTGGTCTTCTTGCTCACCTTGCAGATGCCGGTGGCCACGTCACTGGACAAGGACGCCATCCGCGAGGCGTACGAGGACGTGCGCTCGGATCTGACGGACACGGAGTGGGCGGTGTTCAAGTTCGATGGGGCGCAGATAATCGTGCATGGGCGTGGCCAGTGCTTCGAGCAGTTCCGCGAGCAGTTCGGCGACTCGGAGCGCGCCTTTGGCTACATCCGCATACAGATGGGCGACGAGATGTCCAAGCGCAAGAAGTTCATCTTTCTGACATGGATCGGCCAGGAGGTGGGCGTCATTCAGCGTGCCAAAATGTCCACGGACAAGGCGCTCATCAAGGACGTGCTGAACGTGAGTGCCGTGGCTTTCGGCTCTATCCGAGCATCTCTCTTTAATCTCTCATCATCTTGTCATTGCAGAACTTTGCCGTGGAGCTGCAGGCGGGCGTCCAGGCGGAGCTGGACATCGAGCTGTTCCGTGAGGCACTGAATCGCGCCGGCGGCGCCAACTACGGCACCGGCGTCCGGGACAACTGAGCTGGGCAACAGACGGACGGAGCACCCACGTCGTCCTATCCACCAATCGATTTCAAGCACTTCCTCCTCCCGCCCCACCCGGTCTCTACCCTTTTTTTTTTTTTGTGCACCTCTTCAATTGCTGACTTAATCCTGCTTTTTTACTTAATTATTATGAATTAATTTTATCGATCTTAAAATATTTACTGTACATTTGTATGTAATATGTAATAAATATTAAAACAAGAAACAAAGCGATAAAATGGAATTGAATTAACGTGAAACTACAGCGAAAGCCAATTGGAAAGTCGTGCTAATTGGAATTTCGTTGAACTAATCAAAACGTGTTTTGTGAATCACAATTCGCCTGAACTGATTCACAAAAATTACAAAATTTTACTCAATAAATGTGGCACAAAATAAAATGTAAAATTACCTGATCCAATTGGGATTGCTGGTGGCCTCAGTAGCATTCAATTCTAATTGGTATCTTGTTGAACCAGTCAGCATGTGGTTGAATGGAACTGATTGCATGTCAGTATTACGCTGGGAAAAATATAAATTACATAAAAACCAAATTTCAATTCTGATGTCACGGGAAATTTAATCAAAATCTTATTGGAATGCGCCAATCCAATGAAGTTATATATTACACTGACATCCAATTGGTATATATATTTGCCAATCAGAATCCAGCCGGATTCGCCAGATGAACTTGCATATAAAGCCCCACCAAAACGTAAAAACCATATTTAAAGTAAAAATTCCAATTCCGCATCAAAATCCAATTGGCATTGGGCATTCAAGCGGAATGCTAGCGGATTAAACGTATATTCCGATTGGTATTCCAATTAACCAACCTATTAAACAACTACGAGTCAGTCTTCATATAAAAACTATAAAATTCTTGTGATTTTGCATGAGTCGATGCATGAATCCAATTGGAATGGGTAAATCAATCGCAGCTCGGAAACGTAATCCAAGCAGAATCAGGGCTGCTGGAATTTCTGTAAACAAATATTAAGCAATAAATCCGATCCAAAATATATGCAACTGCAGTCCAATTGGGATTTACAATGAGATTGAAAGAGATTTCCTCCATCAGCGCCCGATTACCAGGAGAGATCAACAAATACAACAATATATATTTCGCGGAACAATACAAGTTTATTTGTCACTTCCAGACTAAAGTGTATGTGTGTGTACATGTATATGTGGTATCTAATCTAATCAGAGTTGAACAGCAGCTGCAAGCCTGGACTAAAACATATTTTAGCCGTAGTACAATATACTGATTAGTGTATAAATTAGCTGTAGTTGCCGCAGTTTATGCAAGTATATATTTGATTAATTCCTAGATGCTCTTGAGTATACACAGAATAATGAATGGATAGAGGGAGAAGGGAGTACACAGGGTCCAATAGGTGTACCATAGAGGAGCTACAGACGGTGTCTAGTCGTCTAATATAAAAACCGAGTAATTCGATTATGAATGTATAAAAAATAAACAAAATTTGATTAAAACTTGACTATGTGACTAAGTGAGCTCCGAAGTGTTTCGAGGTGTGTGCGTGTGTGTGACCAACACATATAAATATGCAAACGAAAGTACAGTAAAAGTAGCTTATGTCTAAGGTGCGGCCATCAGAGTAGATCGAGATGAGGAGCCAATGTACTCAGTGAATTAATGTCAGTGTCTAGGTGAATCGTTCGCTTAGTAATTGCCTAAATTGCGCTTATGCTGGGTGTGTGGATCAGGCTGGATGGCCTAGCGATCGCGGAAGAGCACCGAGTGCAGTGCATCGATGTCAACCTCAACGCCCGACGAGTTTGTGGTCACGGTCCGTGAACTGCAATCGGGGAATATTAGAGACTAGAGTTGGAGCACGAGGCAGACGTAACTCAATATTCATATCCACTAACCTGACAGAGTGCGTGGAGCGATTGGAGGAGTGCGGATTGACCAGCACACAGTGCATCGGCTGGCCATCGAACTCGCGCTGGTGATACGCCTCCACGGCCATTTCGGCGTGCTCCAGTGACTTGTAGATGACCTCGGCCGTGCCGGGACGCACCACGTGGGCATCGTACATGGGCCCGATGTCATTGAACAGCTCACGGATGTCCGCCGTGGTGACGTTGGCGTGCAGATTGCTCACCAGCAGACGGTAGCCGGGCTTGTTGACCACGCTCAGTGGCAACGACATCGACACGTTCGGTGGACTACGGCGCTGGTGCATGGACCGCGAGGACATATGGTGCGTCTCCATGTGCCCCTTGGACTGACCGCTGCCATTCTCGTTAGCGTAGATGCCGTGCGAGACGCGACGATCGGGCTCACTGCCAAAGAGACGGGCACGCAGCGCGTCCGGCAGATTGGATGTGGCCACCAGATTGCGCTGGCGTCGCTCGAACAGTTTGTCCACGCCCTCCCTACGGCCGCCCCCCAATGGCGGAGGCGGCATGGCGGGTCGCTCCACACGATTGCGTGCCGCCTCGTAGACGGAAAATGGATCATTAGACAGAGGACTGCCGCCTGGGGCTGTGATCTCCACACCGTCCATGTCCAGGTCATAGTCGTCGTAGCCACGGGTCATGCGAACGCGTGGCCCAGCACTCGAGGATGGGCAATGGATGTTAGCCAGGTGCAGAGTTTGTGCGATTTCCTCTATGAGAACGGATGAGAATGAGAGAGAGAGAGCGATTGAGATTAGTGGTACACTCCCTTACCATCTTCCTGCTTCTGCATATCGTCGTAGTCCACGTAGCCGCGTGGCACAAACGGCGTGGCGTTTGCATCGAGTCGGCTGGGCCGATACGAGAGGCCCGAAGTGCTCGAGATGCGCGGCTTGTAGCCAAGTCCAGCGCGATCCTTCTTCAGATCGAATAGTCTTTGAATGACGGCGTGTGGTGGTTTGTTCATCGCTATAATCCGTTGAGTAAACCGACTCTTCTGTAGACTGCCAGCGCCGCCGACACCACGAGTCGGCGAGCGACCCGTCTTCACGGGCAACGGCAGGGGCATCGGCATGCGCTCCTTCTTGCGCTCGAGCAGTACGTTGCGAGCATCGATGCCGGACTCGCGAATATTCTGGTTGAGTATGTCGCGAGCGTCCACGATTTTTGCGCGCGTCTTCTGGATGATCTTGTTGCGGGCGTCGTATGTGTGTGTGTTCAGGCCCTGCTTGACAGCTGCCTTGCGCGGCTTCATCTGAACGCCCAGCCTGTGGACAATGAATGGTGTGGGAACACCAAATTATAGCGAATCAGCGCCATTTTCTTTTGGATTTCGAACACTTACTGTTTTTTATCGGCGCCCCGTGTGGCATTCTTTACGCGCTTGCGTTCAATTATCTCGTCCAGGCTGAGGTCCACGTCCATGGTGATAGATTTGCGCGGCGCGCTCTTGTTAATTGATTAATTTAAAAATTGCACCTTTCCATGCACAAAAAAAATCTTTCGAGAGAAAATTCTATGTCAATCTCCCTCGGCAAGCAATAAGCTGGCTTCGTATGGTGCCAGGGAAAAGTGACAAGCGGCGGCCAGGGTTGCACAGCAATTGCTTTAGATATCGATAGTATATCTGATAACTATCGACTGGTTATTGCTACAATATTTTTGTCCAAAACCAATCTTTTAAAACGTTTGTAGTTTTATTTTAGTTTTTTTTTTCAGTTTAGCTCTGTTGCTGTTTTTATTGCACTACAGCAGAACTATGGAAAAATCTTTCACATATGCCAAGAATTTCACAATGTTTGCTGAGCTTCGTAGTGGTATAGATTATGCTTCAAAATGATATTTTATATAGGTTTTAATATTTAATGTGTAAGAATTAAGTATAATATATATGTATCATTTATTTATTTACTTATTTTTATACAGTATTATCTATTTTAAATATTATATACCATGTGTGTGTTAATATGCAAGCATGTAAACTTAACTCCAAAGTGCACTATCAAGCTGAAGCTGAAAGCCGAATCCATCAATAAGTGTCTATTTAAATTATAACAAACTACTTTCAGTGGTTAGTGCGACTATAGATAGAGAAATAAAAGATTTGTGGATTTTTAAGTGTATTTACATATCAAGATTTACCGATATATTGCGTGCAGTTCTTTCGCGATCTTTCGATGATTGTGCGATGATTGCGATTTGTGGCCGATGCGAGTGCACATCACTATCGTCGCCGCTATTTTGTGTTGTCAATTATTCTCTTAGTTACAATTATTTTCATCTGCGCTCGCTGAACGAACCTCTGGGCGAATAGCAACCGATCGCAAAGTTTGCCCCGCAACACCCAGCATTGCCTCTTTCAACTGAGCTCATTAGGAGGTTTGTGTTTTTGCTGCAAGGTTGCTGCAACAGCGGACACCGCATGCTGAATACACCAATAACAGCAGCAGCAGCGACAACAACAACAACAGCAACATCAACATCATCAGCGGAAGCAACATGAATCCCTGTGCTGTGCCCACACCCGTGCCCGATGTTGACGGCGACAAGCGCTGGCTGAGCATACACCGTCGCTTTATCTCGGATTGCCGCGAAAAGGATCCGGACGTGATATTCCTCGGAGATTGTATATTCGAGACGCTGCAGGATACCGACACCTGGAATCAGTACTTTGCGCCGCTGCACTGCCTCAACTTCAGCATACGCGAGGATCGCACCGAGAACGTTCTCTGGCGCATCGAGAACGGCACTCTGGACAATGTCAATCCGAAGATCGTCGTCCTGCACGTCGGCACGAACAACACCAGCAACAGCGCCGCCGAGGTGGCCGAGGGCCTGCTCGCCAACGTGGCCAAGATACGCGAAAAGCTGCCCGGCGCCTACATCATATTACCAGTAAGTTGATCGGACTGTGTACACATACATATAATGTATATATATATACATATAATTTGATATTTGATTTGCAGTCGCTTCTGCCACGCGGCCAGCAGCCGAACGCGCTGCGCGACAAAAACAAGGAGATCAACGAGCTGATCAAGGAGAGGACAAAGGGCATGGACCGTGTGCAAACTGTCGCCATTGACAAGGGGCTGGTGCATACGGACGGCAGCATTAGCCATCATGACATGTTCGACTACAAGAGTCTGACCAATACCGGCGCCAAAAAGATACTCGAGCCATTGCATGATTTGCTATCGCAGATACTCAATGAAAACGAACTGGAACGCGATCTCACACCATCCGAATAACTCACAATATACACGAAAACAATCAGCAACAACAGCAACAGCAACAGTAACAACAACAATAATGGAAATCCAGAACACTCAACCCAACCGCTTGATCTGCAGCAATGAAAGTATTTACTCGTCTATTGAACGGGAGTATCAAGTTTTTGGTTTATTGTTACCCAAACAACAGAGCCAAGAGCAAACAAACGCAAGTTTCCTTAAACACCTTACATAGCTACGATATAT